GTAGAATTTGGTACTGGAGAGTTGTCTGGCAGCCTCCTTTTGGTAGCCAGACCTGAGCTGGGCTGGAAGGGATGGGGCCTAATCTAGAAGGGGCAGGGCCATGATGATTCTGGGTTTCCCCACCCCCAGACCATGATTGGTCTGGGGATGGGGCAGCCCCTATGCCCCCCATGCCACTGGCAGGGCGGGGAGAAGCTTCACACACTTCCCCGCCCCCAGACCTTGATTGGCCTGCGGGCGGGGGAAGTGCGGGAAGTCTCCTCCCACCCTGTGAGGCGCGTGGGCACTTAGAAGTGCCGTGTACTCCTCGCAGGGCTGGCACAGGGTGAAGAAAGCTTTCCACAGCTCCCTTGCCCCCACGTCCTCATTGGCCTGGGGGCAGGGGTGCTGTGTGAAGCTTCCCTCCCCCTGCTCCCGCCCTGTGTGAGTGTCCAGCACTTTGAAGTGCTGCATGCCGCTCACAGGGTAGGAGGAAGCTTCCACATGCTCTGCAGGCCCTAAGTGGCCTGGGAGTGGCAGGGCTGCTGCAGGCCGGATCAACCCACTTGGTGGGCCAGATGTGGCCTGTGGAGGCCCTTTTGTCCACCCCTGCTCTAGGGGCAGTCCCAGACTGGACTCTGCTTGTATGCCCATGCCAGTGCTTCTCATGCTCAGAGCAGGGCTTCTCAGGTGTGGTGGAACTGACAGATAGATGGGCAAAGAGCCTCTTCCCCAAGGAGACAAAGTTCCCTGGCTTCTGCATTCAGGTGGCAACAAACGTCAAATAATGCATAAGGAGACAGCACAGGCTTTGCCAAGGCAGAAAAGGCTCCGTTGTTCTCACCACTCACGGAGAAGGAGAGCAAGCACAAAATCATAGAATAATAGGACTGGAAGGGACCTCGAGAGGTCATCGAGTCCAGCCCCCCGCCCTCAAGGCAGGACCAAGCTCTGTCTACACCATCCCTGACAGATGTCTATCTAACCTGTTCTTAAATATCTCCAGAGAGGGAGATTCCACCACCTCCCTTGGCAATTTATTCCAATATTTGACCACCCTGACAGTTAGGAATTTTTTCCTAATGTCCAATCTAAACCTCCCCTGCTGCACTTTAAGCCCATTACTCCATGTCCTGTCCTCAGAAACCAAGAGGAACAAATTTTCACCTTCCTCCTTGTGACACCCTTTTAGATATTTGAAAACCACTATCATGTCCCCCCTTAATCTTCTTTTTTCCAAACTAAACAAGCCCAGTTCATGAAGCCTGGCTTCATAGGCTTCTCTAGACCTTTAATCATTCTTGTCACTCTTCTCTGTACCCTTTCCAATTTCTCCACATCTTTCTTGAAATGTGGCGCCCAGAACTGGACACAGTACTCCAGCTGAGGCCTAACTAGTGCAGAGTAGAGCGGCAGAATGACTTCACGAGTTTTGCTTACAACACACCTGTTGATACAACCTAGAATCATATTTGCTTTTTTGGCAACAGCATCACACTGTTGACTCATATTCAACTTGTGGTCCACTATGACCCCTAGATCCCTTTCCGCCATGCTCCTTCCTAGACAGTCGCTTCCCATCTTGTATGTATGGAACTGATTGTTCCTTCCTAAGTGGAGCACTCTGCATTTCTCCTTATTAAACCTCATCCTGTTTACCTCTGACCATTTCTCTAACTTGCTAAGGTCATTTTGAATTATGTCCCTATCCTCCAAAGAAGTTGCAACCCCACCCAGTTTGGTATCATCTGCAAACTTAATAAGAGTACTCTCTATCCCAATATCTACATCATTGATGAAGATATTGAACAGTACGGGTCCCAAAACAGACCCTTGAGGAACTCCACTTGTTATCCCTTTCCAGCAGGATTTAGAACCGTTAACAACAACTCTCTGACTACGGTTATCCAGCCAATTATGCACCCACCCTCCCCCTGCTCCCACCCTGTGTGAGTGTTTGAAAGCAGTGTTTGAAGCTGAGCTGCTAGGGCAAGGGTGCAGAACCTCAAGCCTGGGGGTCAGATAGGGCCCTTAGCTTGCCTGGACCCAGCCCTCAAGACTCAGTGCCCCCCCAGGACTGGGGAACCTGCTTGGTGCTCCAGCCCCCCTGCTGCCCCTCTGAGGGCTGGAGTGCACAAAATCTACTAGCCTGCCCCCTCCCAGGCTCTGGTATGTGAGGAGAATGTGGAGAGTATCTTTCTCCTTCTCGGTCAGGAGCCAAAATGAGAATTTTTTCCCCTGCTTCTCACTTCTGTGCATCTCCTGACTGATTTTCCTGTGGGGGCCAGTGGCCCCCAACCCAAGAAAGGTTCCCCATCCCTGTGCTAGGGCATAGTCCCTGGGTGGGGAAGCTTACCCAGTAGGGAATATTATAATAACAAGAAAATACTATTGTAACTATACCCAAAGGTAGAACCATCAACTTGCTTAGCTAGGCTAAGAACATGGAAGAATATGGGTTTTGACTCTGCTCATGCAATGGTAAGAGAGAACTGGAGCAACATGGGTCTACACAGCCTCTTCTAGCCTCGCCTGCGGACACAAAGACAATGCACAATGCATGTGCAGGTCGACGGACACTGCTACAGAATTGTTCCTGGTCCAGCGCCTGGCCCTCACTCAACAGGGGTTATAGTGGACCACAAGCTGAACATGAGTCAGCAGTGTGATGCTGTTGCAAAAAAAGCAAATATGATTCTAGGTTGTATCAACAGGTGTGTTGTAAGCAAAACTCGTGAAATGCATCCCAGGATACTCAAGGAGCTGAAAGAGGAGGTATCTCAGCCTTTAGCTATGATCTTTGAAAAATCATGGCAGACAGGGGAGATTCCAGAAGACTGGAAAAGGGCAAATATTGTGCCCATCTATAAAAAGGGGAATAAGAACAACCCAGGAAATTATAGACCGGTCAGTTTAACGTCTGTCCCAGGGAAGATAATGGAGCAGGTAATTAAGGAAATCATATGCAAACACTTGGAAGGTAATAAAGTGATAGGGAATAGCCAGCATGGGTTTGTGAAGAACAAGTCATGCCAAACTAATCAGATAGCTTTCTTTGATAGGATAACGAGCCTTGTGGATAAGGGAGAAGCGGTGGATGTCATATACCTAGACTTTAGTAAGGCATTTGATACGGTCTCGCATGATATTCTTATTGATAAACTAGGCAAATATAACTTAGATAGGGCCACGATAAGGTGGGTGCATAATTGGCTGGATAACCGTAGTCAGAGAGTTGTTGTTAACGGTGCTAAATCCTGCTGGAAAGGGATAACAAGTGGAGTTCCTCAAGGGTCTGTTTTGGGACCCGTACTATTCAATATCTTCATCAATGATGTAGATATTGGGATAGAGAGTACGCTTATTAAGTTTGCAGATGATACCAAACTGGGTGGGGTTGCGACTTCTTTGGAGGATAGGGACATAATTCAAAATGACCTTAGCAAGTTAGAGAAATGGTCAGAGGTAAACAGGATGAGGTTTAATAAAGAGAAATGCAAAGTGCTCCACTTAGGAAGGAACAATCAGTTCCATACATACAAGATGGGAAGCGACTGTCTAGGAAGGAGCATGGCAGAAAGGGATCTAGGGGTCATAGTGGACCACAAGTTGAATATGAGTCAACAGTGTGATGCTGTTGCAAAAAAAGCAAATATGATTCTAGGTTGTATCAACAGGTGTGTTGTAAGCAAAACTCGTGAAGTCATTCTGCCGCTCTACTCTGCACTAGTTAGGCCTCAGCTGGAGTACTGTGTCCAGTTCTGGGCGCCACATTTCAAGAAAGATGTGGAGAAATTGGAAAGGGTACAGAGAAGAGCAACAAGAATGATTAAAGGTTTAGAGAACATGACCTATGAAGCCAGGCTTCATGAACTGGGCTTGTTTACGCACCTGGACACCACGCATAGGACCCCGGGTGGGGGCCAAAGAGACAAAACCAGACGGTGGGTTCGCAGGGCCCCGCCCCCTCCCCGGGCTTGGCCGTGAGCGGACGTGGGGGCGCGAGGTGCTCGCACCTGCACAAATCCATCACAGGTGTCACAAGGAGGAGGGAGAAAACTTGTTCATCTTGGCCTCTGAGGATAGAACAAGAAGCATTTAGGATGGACATTAGGGAAAAGCTCCTAACTGTCAGGGTGGTCAAACACGAATAAATTGCCCAGGGAGGTTGTGGAATCCCCATCTGAGGAGATATTTAAGAGCAGGTTAGATAAATGTCTAGCAGGGATGGTCTAGACAGTATTTGGTCCTGCCATGAGGGCAGGGGACTGGACTCAATGACCTCTCGAGGTCTCTTCCAGTCCTAGTATTCTATGATTCTATGACAAAGAAAGAGGAAAACAAGACCCGACAGGCATGAGTGAGTTACAGGACTCTCCCAGGGAAAGCTAGAGGCTGCATATCTGGAGGGTGCATTCAGAGAGCCAAAGTGGGGTAGGACAGCCAACCCCCATATCTCTGAGCATCCCAGCCCCTTGTGCTCTCCCACTGAACACTGTGTTCCGAGGTGCATTCCCTACAGGCTCCCAACCTGAACATCTTTTGCTTTTCTGACCAGTTCCACGTCTTCCCAGGCTCCCCCGCCCTCCCTGGAACTCTGCCCAGTTCCCTGCACCACCAGTGCCACTCCCCACATCATGAAGAAAGCTGTTCAATGATGGAACCGTGCACAGACCTCAAAGCCATTCACAGGAGCTCAGCACCATGACCCCCCTATGAAGGGGCCACCACTGGTGCATGGCACATCTAGGAATAGAAGCCGGATCTCCTGCACCACTGCCCGAAACACTGGACTGTGCTGCCGGCCCCGAGCCCAGCTCCGCCCCACCCCCAGAATGCAGCTAGACCCCACCTCCATGTTATTTCTCATTCCACTTGGTTTATGCTGATGCCCCTAGTTCTCATCGCATACAGCAACGATTCCTCTGACCCAGAGAGAGAGACAGTATCAAGGGCAGCTCAGCTGAGGGGGTAGCAGGGTTGCCCTGGTGATGCTGCAGACTAGGGAGCTCTGCACTTACCCATCACTTTTCTTAAAGAGGCTCCCTGATTTCTCGGTCCCATACTGCTTGTTCCCCTGCAGCTGGTGCATGCTGTACCGTGGCTGCTTGCCGACCCCGTCCTAGCAGAGAGAGAGGCAGCCATTAGCTCATGCCCATCTCTCCTGAAGATGACTCCTGACAGCAGAGAGGCCAGATGGGCATCTCAGAAAGGTCCCATCCAAGAAGAGATGGGATCTTACTACAGGTTGGACCTGACTGGTCCTGAACGAGGGGATTTGCCAGACCAGGGGAGGTCCCTCCTCTCATGGCCCGTGCTGCCCCCAGCCTGCCCCGCGGCTGCTGCCGAGCCCCTCCGGGGCCCTGTAGATGCTGCCGGCCGCACTACTGCTGGGGCCAGAGCCTGTGGACAGAGCTGTGCAACTCGGGCAGAGCTCCACAGCCGCCTGGCTCCGCTGCTGAGGCTGGAGCTCCACAGGTAGGCCAGAGCTCCCTGGCTGCCACTGGGCCTGGGGCTCCCCAGCCGCTGGAGTCAGAACAAGGCTGGAACTCCACGGCTGCTGCTGGGGCCAGAGCTCTACAGCCGCTAGGGCCAGGAAGCTCAGCTGGGGCAGCAGCTCCCAGCCACGCTGCCTGTCCTCCCCCGCCACACAGACACACGTGGCTCCCCCACAGCACTCCTGCCCCACCGCCAGAACTCCCTGTTCCTGGGCTCTGTGATCCAGGCACATCCACGGTTCATGCTGGACCAAGGAGTCCCGGTTAAGGGAGGTCCAACCTGCACACAGGGTAGTGACTGGCAAGCCTAGTTCAGCAAGCACAGAACTGAGTGGTACAGAAACCCACAGATCCTGCCATCACAGCCCTCCCCCTCTGTTCCTCACCCGCTCTGGGAATAGTGGGCTCCATTCCCCAGGGCTGCAACACCACCACCTTTGAGGCATGTGAAATTCTCTGCTTGGTTGCTCCCCATGGATTCTCCACCAGGCAGCTGCACTAGCAGTGCCTAGGAATGGGGACATGATTTACCTCTTTCTGCTCCAGCTGCAATGCTGTTTTCAGGCGATCCCGCAGGGAGCACAGCTGCTGCTTCTCCTCGTCCTGCCTGACCTTCATCTGAAAGGCATCACACCACAGTAAGTCACTGAAGCGGGACCTTGGATTGCCCTCTGCTGCTGGCTGTACATCCCACTCATTCTTTCAGGCAAGACAAGCATTTCTCTCCTCTGCTACCTAACACAAGGTCCCATTCCTGTGGAAAGCACCAAACTGAAAACACAGGCCAGGCTGGGGTTCTCCCCTTGTGCAGCACCACATCAGAGGCCATGCACTGCTGTAATACAGGCTTCTCCAAAATCCCATCTCTATCAGAGCAGCTTGGACAGAGCTCTCAGCAGGTGGAGGGGGGAGGAGGAGAGAACAACAGTGGTTCCTGGATGTGCTTCCTCTGCCAGCTTGGTGGATGCACAGCGCTATGGTTTGACTGAATTATATACACAATGTTTGCTCCAGACATTTTAAAACAGCTGTTTATGGTTCTGAACCGGGCACTGACTATCCAAAAGCCTGAAGCTTAATTTGTCCACCTCTTGAGTTGGGTCAGTAATGAAAACAGTTAATAGGATCAAAAGCGCTGCTTTCCAGGAAACAATCGAATTAATTTTCAACATGCTTGTAGGGCAGACACACAGCTGAAGGGTTCGGGGTCTATAGAATTAAGGGATACTATAAGAACTGTGTACTACACCTTGCTCGCCATTCCACCAGTTACAGATTGTGAATAAATTACTTTGAGAGAACGTATTGGAGGATTTCTTTAATTTTTTCTGGTATTAATGTGCTACAAGTATAAAGAGACCCAGAATGTTAAAAGATCTGGCACTGAGCCACTTCTGGAGAACTCACCATGAACTGGTAAACTCTGTCTTGATGGAAAATATCAAAGCTAACCAGCTGTACAGCTATTACACTCAAAATTACTATGAGGAAAGCATATAAGAAAGGCTCAAAAATTATCTGCACTAAAGATCAATAAATATTCCACCCAAATGAGCACTACAACTTCATCAGAGAGATATAAAAAAGTAGCACTATAACAAGATGATAGTAGCATGGAAAATATAGTGGCATCCTCAGATCTTTTCATGAGCTGTATCGACTTATTCTAGCTATCAAGCTCTGGGAACTTTCCATTTAGCCTTTAAACCTTCTCAACAGCCTTAGGTATAGGCCTAACTGATTTCAGGTTCCCCAAAAGTAGACCCTGCTGGAGATGATGCTGAGGGGGAGAGGAAGAAAGAGGTTGACTATTTGGTGGGGAGGCTGCTGCTCCATCTGTCAGACCCCCATGGCAGAGCAGAAATCCTGGGTAGTTTCTAAAACTTACAAAATCCATCTGGACAGAGATTGGCAGACCAAAACTGAGATCATGACCCAGAAAAGCTGGACATATGGGAAGCCTCCTTAGGGGTAAAGAGAGACTTTAGGGGGTAGATATTCTTCCCCCAGGGCCCACGCTCTTCTCTTGCATTGGTCCCTGGTGAGCAGGCATGATGCATACTTACACTCTGTAGCTCAGGGGTCAGCTTCTTTATAAACTGCGTAAGCATCTCTGTTGCCTGTAAACATTCCTGGAAAAAACTAATAGGACAAGTGAATGTGAGACAACAGTTTGAAAGAAACCTTCTAGCATTGATGGTGCTGCGTGCAAACAACGTGCCTTACTATCAGCCCTTTTGGGCTAGCAGGCCTAGCCCCACACATCTTACCAGAAATCCCAGATCCACATAATAGCCAGTGACCACAATCCAAGGCATGTGAAGCTAGTGCATTCATTGCTTTTGTATTATAGTGTCAAAATGCAAGTACCAAGTAACTTGCAGGACAAACACAGAATCCTCTGGCTTCGCATCTCCAGAGGGACAGGAAGCTGACCCTGTGACCACACAATTGGAGGCTTATGATATTTGTTCACTGCAAAGTAAGGCAATACCTAGGACTGCTCAAACTGGAGACTTGGCAAAGCAAGGGCGGGTAGGGATAAAGATAAGCAATCTCTCTTACTTGAACTGGGCATTGCAATGCTTGATGTGACTCTGCAGCAAGTCCACGCCTTTCTTGCTTTGAATCTCATTCACTTTGATCAGATACTGAGGAGGAAACACAGCCAGGAATTGATTCCTGTTGTCAGCTAGGTCCCACATTCATTACATATCACTCTCCATGTTGCTAACACCTGCAAATAATGTGATTTTGCCCCCCCGCCCCCATTGCAATCTTGCCATTCTGTGACTAGCTACAGACTTCCAGGGAAGCAAGCCAGAGACCAGAAAGACAGCTTGACATTGCCCTGTTCCTCTGTTGTTCCACTAGCTCCATTAGCCACTCTGTGCCCCTTAAGCTCTTCTTGTGAGTCAAATTTTCATTTACATTCACTGATGTTTGGGAGCGAGGGCAGCTGATGCTAACCCAGGCCTCTCACATTAGAAGACCACCAAAGTCTCATTTACTTTGCCACATACCTCTCAGAACATGCATGTCAAACTAGGTTCTTCTCTCTTGCATGAGCTTGGGAAGTAGGGGTGTGGGGCATGCTCCTGTTGCCCAGAGTCCTGGCCACCAGGCCTGATGTTCTCTGGGGGCTCTGTTTCCAGTCTGGGTCCCACTCAACTGCTGTCTCTCTGCACATTGGTTTGGACACTGGCCCTGGGTCCTGCTTGGCGATTGTGCCCATGTAAATGGTCTCTGGGTCCCACTCAGCTACTAGCCCTGCCACTAGATCCTGTATGCACAGTCCCACTTAGTTACTAGGCCCAGGATCCTTCCCACAGCCCCACATGCAGGGGCTGCCATGCCCAGCTCTATGGGGCTGTGAAGGGCCCAGACAGAGGTAAGGAGGGGTGCAGTTCAGCATCCCTACTCCAAAAATTGTTCCTGCCCCCCCGGTCTCTTGTGTATCCCATGCTAACACAATGTGGTTCAGTCACTCTCTAGAACTGGGGTTTGTGACCCCATTTACTGGGCTTGCCATGCTGGCTTAGATGTGCTGGGCTCAGGACTGAAGCTGAAGCCTAAGCGCCCCTACCCCACCCCGCTCAGGACCGAAGCCCAGGCCTGGGGAGCAGGGTTCAGAGTATAGGTCCTGCCTGAGATTGGAATCTTTGGGCTTTGCCCCCCTTATACCTTTGCCTGGGGCAGTGGGGCCGGGACAGGCTCAGGCTTCGGTTCGCGCACCCCCGAGATCATGTGTGTCACCAGAAGGGGGGTGCAGTAGGATGAAGTGTGGGGCCACCTCCCGTAGAAGCTGGGCCATGCATGGAATGCTAGGACCCCGTTCCACTTCCAGGGTAAAGAGATCTGGTGTGAAGCCCAGAGCTGGCCCAAATGGGTGATCTTACACTTAGCTACGCGGTCTGTCACCGCCACACTGCGATCTATGGCCAGAGCCAGAACCAAGAATCCTGACGCCGAGCACTCCACTGTCTACAAATATCTGTGTAGCCTAACTGAGCGTGTGTGCAGTGGCTCCCTGTGTGGACAGCCCAGCATTGAGAATAGCAGCCGGCGTGTTCCCAGTTATTCCTGGCATTAGTGGGGAAGTGGTACATGCTGAAGAGTGTAACACTCTGAGGAAAGCCCTGAAGTAATTGCAGCATCTTGTAATTAGAACGAATGTGATACTGTGCTAGTTTGTTTTACTGTTGCATTTTCAGGGCATGCTTTGGTGAATGGGAGCTGGCCCTTTAAGAATGGAGTACAGCTGACAGTGTTTTCAAATAGAGGCATGTGTGGGAGATTTTGCCTGTGTGCAGAGGTGGGACCCAGCTTGCTTGGGCTTCAAAGTGGCTAGAGCATGAATTAATAAACTCATCTTTCCTCAAAGCAGCCTCCCCCTCCCTTTCCAGTTTCATCTTACGAGGTAATGGATGATTGAGAGTGTTGCTACAGAACCATTTGCCTATAGGGTTGCTAGATGTTTTAACCAAAAATACCGAACCCCTCCCTTCCCCCCCCCCCAAAAAAAAAACAACACTGGGGAAAATATTCTGTTGAGGGGGGAAAAAAGGGGGAGACCAAAGTTTTTTGGGGAGACCAAAAAAACCCCCAAACCCAGCATTAAAACAGCATGGCCCTTTCAGTGCGTGCAGAGTCAGAATAGGGATAGGAAAAGGGCAGAGGTTGAGCACTAAGACCCAGGGAAGGCATTGCTTCTCCTTGGTCTTTAGGCTTTTTGCCAGTGGCCACTTTGTTTTCTTGATCAAGCCAGAACACAGCTTCCCTGCAGAACCAGGTAAGCAGGGAGCCTGGGGGGAGGCAGGGGGCTGGGCCCAGTTGCCGAGTGTGTCGTAGGTTGCCAGGTGTCCGGTATTTTCGCCTCCTTGCAGGGAAAAATAACAGAAAATATCAGACATTTTAGGTGTCCGGTATTTTCTGAATTTTTTTTTTCCAGACAGAAGGCTAAAATACCGGACTGTCCAGGTCAATACCAGAGATCTGGCAACCCTATGGGTACGTCTAGACTACAGGCTTCTGTCGACAGAAGTTTTGTCGACAGATACTGTCGACAAAACCAGACTACATTGAGTTCTGTCGACAAAGCAAGCTGCTTTTGTCGACATGGTAGTCTGGACGCAAAGGACAGTTTCCATTCAATAACACCTTCTGTCGACAGAAACTCTGTCGACAGAAGGTGTTATTCCTCGTAAAATGAGGTTTACATACGTCAACAAAACTGCTGAGTTCTGTCGACGTTATGTCGACAGAACTCAGCGGTAGTGTGGACGCAGGTATAGTTTTGTCGACAAAAGTCCACTTTTGTCGACAAACTCTGTAGTGTAGACACACCCTATCTGTGTGTGGCTGGTTTGAATCCTGCCTAGTTCGGCTGGGATACAAGCTTGTTCCTTTCTAATGGAACCAGCTATTGCATGGAAGTTACCTAACACATCCTGGGTGCAGTTACTATCACGATGTCAAACTTTAACAATTTGCGTTGAACTTGTTCCTGCCAGATATGTGTCTCAGACTCAATAATTTCTAAAGATGAGGTCAATGACAGCTAAGAAATTTTAACAAATCTGACCAGCTTTCTGACCTTTGTAATTGATTGTATTTCTTACTGTGGGCACTGTGGCATTAGGGGTATGTCTAGACTACATGGCTCCATCGACGGAGCCATGTAGATGAGGGTTATAGGCAAAGGCAAATGAAGCCGCGATTTAAATGATCGCGGCTTCATTTACATTTACATGGCTGCCGCACTGAGCCGACAAACAGCTGATCAGCTGTTTGTCCGCTCAGCGCGCTAGTCTGGACGCTCCCCTGCCGACATCAAAGCCCTTTGTCGGCAGCCCCGGTAAACCTCATCCCACGAAGAATAACGGGGCTGCCGACAAAGGGCTTTGATGTCGGCAGGGGAGCGTCCAGACTAGCGCGCTGAGCGGACAAACAGCTAATCAGCTGCTTGTCGGCTCAGCGTGGCAGCCATGTAAATGTAAATGAAGCCGCGATCATTTAAATTGCGGCTTCATTTGCCTTTGCCAAAAAAACAAATCTACATGGCTCTGTCGATGGAGCCATGTAGTCTAGACACAGCCTAGGAGAGAGACCCAGCCCAAAGAGCATACAGCCTAAACACCCCAGAGTGGAGTTGTGAAAATAACTTACATTTCTTACAGGTACTGTCCTATCTTTGGGGGGGGGATTACAGTTGTAATTTCTGTAAATTCAACAAGGTGTCGCACTATAGGACACAAGGCATCCGGAAAAAAATGAGCATTAAAAACATCTCTGTGCCACACAGGAACTGAGAAGCAGCCGCCAGAAGTGATGCTGGCTGGCAGTGGAGAAGCCTTGCTTATAACCCCATAAAGTCATTCCATTGGAGTTAGGGAAAATAGAGGTTAAAAATCACAGCAATGGCATAATTAAGGGTCTTCCTCTGCAAGAGTTTCCCCTTCCCACCTCCGAGCCCCTCTGTGGCCCATGGCAGGGACGGCCAAGTTCCTGTCAGGTAGGAGATGAGGAGAAGAGGCCACTGCTGCTCAATGCAAAGGGTCATTGATCCAGGTGTTTGTGATGCTGCTGCGTCCCTCCCACCCCCTTACCTCACACATGTTTAACTGGAACATCCTGCGCTCCTTCTCCATCTCCTCAGCAATCTCCCCTCCCATCACCTCACTCCGCACTAGCCCATGCTGCTTTGCCAGCTCCCGTTTCTCCTTTTCGATCTTTGTGCTCAAGAAAAAGGAGAAAACACCCTGAAAGGCTCCTTTGGGGCCAGGCTTTTCGGCTCCTACTGAGCTTGAGTAAAGAGGGCGGGAGCAAATCAACTTACAGTTTGTTCTCATAGTCTTTCCAGGCTTTATCAAAAGGCTTTCTGAAGTCCTGGTAAGAGATGGGTCAGTGCTTAGTGACAATGGCCCCGTACAATGCACCACCCCGTCCCCCTCCCCACCTTACCCACAGCATGGCACAGCTTTCTCGGCACACCAAACCACACTGCTAGCATGCCTTGCTCAAGGCCCAAAGGTGCACACTTCCTGTTTGCTATGGCCAAGTCTGCTGCCCAGCAAGTAAGTCACTTGGTCCACATGTCCCATGTGGCATCCTATGAACGTCATTCCTAACCTGCAGGGACTAGAAGCTCTACAGGGGACCCTGGAGTGCTGCTCGCCACAGTTGCCCCACCCTCATGCTGCTAGACTGAAACTGCCCCGCTGGCCAGCTGGAGAATCTACCTCATCTCACTCTATACATTGCTAAGAGAGACTTCCCCGCCACTCTCACAGAATGCACAGAAGCTAAAGCAGGAGCGCGACACACACACACACACACACACACACACACACACACACACTTTTTAGCCAGAAGGGGCATATCTAAGCTGACCTCTTGACTAGGATGTGACACTCAGGCTATATCTACACTACAGAGTTTTTCCGGGGTATCCCAGAAAAATTGCCATTTCCAGGGAACGCATCTGTTCTTCCGAATTTTTTTTCGAAAGAGCAAATGCGCTCTTTTGGAAGCCCTGTAAACCTTGTTTCACGAGGAAGAAGAGCTCAAAAAAAGGGATTTTTTTCTTGACATTTGGCCCAGTGTAAACGGGCCAAATGTCAGAAAAGCCTCTGCCAAAAATAGCGGAAAAAGCTACACAAATAGTGATTTGCAATTTGCCTAACTTTTTCCGAAACTGTAGTATAGAGACAGCCTCAGTTTCATCCCATTATCTTTGCATGAGGCCCAATAATTTGTGTTAGATTAACATATCTTCCAGAAAGGCAGCCAGTCTGGGTCTGATAACACCAAGAGATGGAAAATCCATCTCATCCCTCAGCGTTTGGTACAATGCATAATCACCCTTACGGTTACAAATTGGGCCTTATTTCTCATTTGTTTGGCTGCAGCTTGTAGCTGTTGGTTCTTGTTCTGACCTTACCTTAGATAAAGACCCCTTTGAAGCCTGGCATCTTCTCCCCAGGAGTGCAGCACAGGCTTCAGCCAGCCTCCCTCCCTGGCTTCCCACTGGGATTGCTGTGAGGAAATCCATGCCGTGCTGTGGATTCCCAGCGGGTGTTAAGCTCCTGGAGTCTGAATGGAGTCCAGACACTGCCCAGACTGGCATCCCTTGGCACTGTCAGGCCGCGACCTTCTATCTGGCAACCCTCATGCACTGGAACCTGCTGTTCAGCCATCTCGCCCCTCTGGGCGCAGCGCAGAGCCTTCAAACTCACCCTTCCCCCGCCCAGACTCCCACCAACAGCAAAATGCTCCTGGGCACACTCCAGCGCTGCTGAGGGCAGGCAGCAGTGGGGAAGCAGCTCCCCCCCAGCCCCACACATTTGGTTCAATGTAGCTACTGTAGCCTCTATACTACAGAGCTTGATCACTGTAGGGCCACATCTGCACTGCAGTGGTGCTGCCAGCAATACCAGTCGCCCCGGCATTGACTTCACACCACCTGAGTGAAAGACGCAAGCTTCGGTCGATGTCGTTAGGGTGGGGGTGGCCCGTGGGTCAGATGTGTTTCCCCAGGGTTAGCCCCTGGTGGTCTGCCAGACACTTAATTTACCTGAGCATCCACAGGTCTAGCCACTTGCAGCTCAGTTCTTGCAGTTTGATGTTCGCCTGGAGGTGGGGGGAGCGCGTGAAGCCTCCTCTCACCCTACCTCCGCCCTGCGAGGAGCATGTGGCATTTCAAAGTGCCACATGCTGCTCGCAGGGCAGGAGGAGACGTCACGAGCTCCCCTGCCCCCAAGTCCTGATTGGCCTGGGGGCGGGAGAGCTTGCAAAGCTTCCCTCGCCCTGCTCCCAACCTGCGAGAACTTCCAATTGCCGGACGCTCCTTGCAGGGTGGGGGGGAGGGTGGAAGAAACTTCGCACGCTCCTCCTGCTCCCAAGCCAATGAGGACTTGGGGGCGGGGCAGCACGTGCTGTCTACTCCCACCCTGCGAGCAGCATGTGGCGCTTCAAAGCGCTATGTGCTGCTCACAGGGTGGGAGGAATCTTTGCGCTCTCCCCAAGGCCCTAACTGGCCTGGGGGCAAGGGAGTGGCAGGGCCTCCGTGGACCAAATCAATCCGCTTGGCGGGTCAGATCCGGCCCGCGGAGGCCCTTTTGCCCATCCCTGATGTAGAAACTACGTGACCTACATCATCTGTCGGCCGTCAGCTCGGTGCGAGGCTGTCAGCTCCAGGGTAGCTCAGGCTGTCAATGCTGGGGCATGGGTAGCACTTGGCGTTGGTGCCCCATTTCAAGGGGTGTAGAGCACCCCACGGACAGAAGGAGCATAGTGTAGATATGAATGTAATTACTGCCGTGTCTGGAAGTTGACTTGACTTAATTACGCAGTGTAAATAAGCTCTTATTCCTGAAAAGCAGAGGAGAACCCAGATCACACAGAACATCCAGACCTTAATGTTCCTCACTAGCTCACCCATCCCTGACGGGACCATCTGTGTTCTGTTCGTTAAGTTGACAAACAAAATCTTTCACCCCACTGCCTACTCTGCCCCTGCAGCTGCCTTCCTCCTCTTACACTGGCCAGTCTCAGCTCCCCTTCTGCCCCCCTCAATCCCACTGCTTTTTTTGTGATGGCACTGCCCGGTACGCAGTACTGGCACTTCCAGACACAGCACCAGCATCTCCAGTCAGCGCTCAACAACTTTTCCCCTGGAGCACTGGCACCTTTTTAAAAACCAAAAACCAAAACCCCAAAAAAGCACTGCTCAGTCCTATTCATGACTCTTGCTGGAGGTCAAGTCAGCTGCTTCTTTTGTTCTGCCCTTCAGTGATGCTCCATTCCTGCCTCCTTGAGAGGAAGTGGGTTCGCCAGTTCGAGCAAACCTATTATCCCAAGGTGTTTGGCTCTGAAGAGAAGATCACTGAGTGCTGATGATCACCACTGTCTCTGGCCTGACTGCCACAACAAACCCCAGCAGCCTCCTGGGGACCAATGGACGGTCACACACGCACACAAGCCTGCGCACTTTTCAGGATGTGATGCAATTTCATAAGATCACCCCCAAATCTGAAGTGGTACAGAGAGTTCCCCCAATTCATCACTTTTCTACCCCTTAAAAAAAAAAAAAAGAACAGAGCAGGAGTACATGAGAAGATTCCAAAGGCTCTTCTGCTATCCACCCTGTTTCAATAGCACATCTACTTTGCTATTTCTTGATTTGAACTTCAGACATACAGTCAGTAAATAGTTCTAGTCACCCGTCCAAAAGACAGTTTCATTCCATTGCATGTCAGTTCTCATGTTCACACCACCATGGGGCAAGGTGTGTTTTCTTTCCCCAGCGCCATCAGGCTTAATTATACCTTATCAACACAAAATCATAGAGGAAGGGACAACTTTCCCTTCCTTAACCTCAAGACACAGTTGCTTCACAGCTCTTTAGGGATTTTCCCATATTCTGCCAAGCACCATCCCTTGGCAGCACTCTTTGGGTATGTCTACACTACCACCCTAGTTCGAACTAGGGTGGTAGTGTAGACATACCCTCATGGAAAAGAGCAAAGTTGCATTTGCCATTAACAAATGATTCATGGTCATACAATGCCCTGGGGCAGTGGGACAGGACAAAATCTATGGGCTAAAACATATTTTTAAAAATGGGTGCAAAATAGGGATGCTTGAGTGTAACTGTTTTGACCATTTAACCGATAAGCGGATGCTTATCAGTTAACGGTGTCGGTTACACTCAGCAAAGCTTCCTCCCTGGGAGAAGAGCTGGGCTGTCAAGGGCTGCCAGCTCCCCTCCAGAGGAGGTTTCACTGCCACAGCAAAGCCTCTTCCCCGGGAGCAAAGCCAGGCCAGGCTGGCAAGGGCCTCAGCAAAGCCTCCTTCCTGGAAGTGGAGCTGGGCTGGCAGGGGCTGGCAGCCCCACTTACAGGGAGGTTTCACTACGGGCTCTGCCTGAATCACTCTCATTCTAGGGGAGCTCTGACATCACCTTTGCAGCTGTGCCTCAGTTTCCTTTTCCTTGCAGAGTTTTGAAACATGGCACCTATTAGCAGTGCCTAGTTTCCTAACTCTCAGGGGATTTCTGAGCCACACTGTCACCAGCATCCCACAGCTATTAATGTTCTGTTCCAGATCCTAGCAAGTGCCCCTTCCTGGCCTCACTCAGGATTCCCAGAGGCAGTGCTTTTTTTGTAAGAAAAAAGGTGCTGATACTCCAGGCTCAAAGTTGGTGAGGAGAAAAAAAAGGGGTGGGGGAACTTGTTGGGGAAAAAAAAAAAGCTTCACTGGGGGCCAAAATGAGGTCACGGCCTCTTTAAGAGCCACATGTCCCAGTGGGCTTTCATCGGGAGCCAAGTTGCCCTAGGAAAATGCTAATAGGTGCCGGCAAGCCAGAAGGGAATCCCATTCCGTACTGTCACAAAAAAAGCACTGCCCAGAGGTATACCAAGACGCTGGAGCTTGATTAAAATTCAGCTGCGATTCCTGTCAGAGAAGGTATTTATACAGACAAGAGTTATTAACAATTAGCATCAGTGCGCCAGAGAACTCCATCCTCAGCCAACTTCATAAGGCCTTTTGGGTACAATATTTATTCCTGGCAGTTGGTGTTACCATCCTCCTTGGTAACTAATGAATTTGGAAGGTATTTGTTCATGTGACACAAGCACATCATCCTGCTTCTTTCTGAATACAGAACAGAAATATTTATTGAACACTTCTACCTCTTTTGCACCATCTCCGTCTAATAAAAGGCCTATAGCCTCAAACTTTCTTTTTTTCCTGGTACATTTGAACTTATCCTTAGTCCTGCCAGATATGCTGTTTGTTTTGATGCTCTTAGCCTCCCTTATTAGTTTTCTGCACTTAATGATTTCTAATTGACATCAGTTATCTCCATTTGTTAACCAATAAAGGTTGGCCAGTGTTGTCTCATGATAGTAGAACTATGGGTTTCTGGACATCTAAAAACTAACAATCCTAATTTCCATTCACAGTTTTCTGTCTACATTTTTCTTCTCAATCTGTTTTGTTCACAGTTTTCCTCAGCTTTGGGCAACTGACCATTTTGAAGCACCAAATATATATTCTACTTGGTGGGACTGTCATTTGTTCGCTCATAATGAATGTAGCTGTGTCACATCACTGGTCCCCAGTCAACAACCAACTGTTAGTCCAGTGATCAACTCATACTCCTAGATATCCACATATTAGGCACAAGCACACACATACAAATACACACTAACATAGCACCACACAGAGACAGACAGGTACATGCACAGACTGACATAAATAAAGAGCAGCACACCTGAAAGCATCACACATACAGCGATCTACCAAGGGTCTTGGGGGATAATCCACTGCTGGCAATTTTTAAACATCATTGTATGTTTTTCTAAAAGTTCAGCTTTAGTGCAAAGAGGAATTGATTTAGGGAAATTCTCTGGCATATGATATACAGGAAGGCAGATTACGTGGTCACAGTGGGCCATTCTAGCCTTGAAATCTATGAATCTAGGAGAGTCATGGACACCCAGCAACACATCCAGACACACATGTACAGACACACCCATTTGTGCATGCACACACACACAGTCCCTGGCTGAGGACATATTAGAGACGGGGGGGAGGGGAGGGGGGGGCAGGAAACACTAGAGGAAAGGGGCCAGGACGCCAAAGGAGGCTCACATTCATTCCCAGTGGTGGCCACTATATAGGCCTAGGGAGTCCAGGATCCAGGAATATTTCTGGTCCAGTCACTTGGGAGGGTAGCTGGGAGACCATGAGGGACACCCACTTGCCTAAGAGGGTCAAAGGTCAGCCACAGGGACATACATTCACCTGGAGGATTGTGGGGAGGTCAGTGGGGACAGCCACTCATCTGGGGGCTCCCTTGGAAGCCATGGCGACATGTAGTCACCTAGATGAAAGCAGAAGCTTTCTGGGAGGCCATACAGACTCAGTGCAGGGAGCTGATGGGGCAGCCAGGGAAAGTGCTCAGCCGGTGATGTCATGGGCAGGTATGAAGTAGCTGGGAGAAAACGAGTTATCTTGTTCCCTAGGACTCTCATGATTCTCCTCAGGCCAGCCAGAAATGCTGCAGGCAAACTGGGTGCGAGAAGAGGCGGGAGAGGGTAGGTGGATGTGATTGACAGCAGCACAAACATCGCTGACTGTGTCCTGCTCAGAGGCTGGGGCAGGCTGGAGAGCAGCTGTGGCAAGTGGCTGCATGCAAGTGCCCTGAAGAGAGAGGTTTCTGGAGCGATGAGGAGCACCGCTGGGCCCAGCCAGCTACTAGTCAAATCAGTTGGTGCAGCCACTCTCCCAGGCGCTGTCTTGACAAGTGCGCTCAGCATCTACTCACCCCTTTGAGCTCTTTTAAGTCCCGCTTTACTAGTGAGTCCAAGGGGAAGTTAATGTTGTGAGACAAGCTCTGCAACTGGAAAGAAAGGAGAGAGAACCTGAAGCCTGTGAATATCCTCAGCAGAAAGCCAGGTAGTTCACACCCGCTTTGCAACCTGCAAAAAGATCCCTCAGTGCTGTCATTCTGGACAATGGCAGAGCTGGTCTTACCACACAGCCCTGCCTGGTGCTACAGCCCTGGACTCTGCTCTCCACGCATTCAACCCACTCCCCACCATCCCTGCACACTTTTGGGGGAAGCACTTTTCTTCTGGATTCTTATGGATTTTCCTTTGGGCCCTGTGTCATGGGACTATCTAGACGTTTATGGAAACATGCGTAGGAATATGAATATGAATAACGAAATGCTTTCTGCAAAATATTTTGTGTAAGGGATCATTTGAAAATGTGTAATTTACTGAATAGGATTTTCCCACCTGTGTATACGTATCATTCCTGAATTTGAAGTTAGAAATACGAAGTATAAACCTGTTCTGCTAATACAGACATGCTAAATGAGGGCTATTTCAGAAACTTGATGCTCATTGATAAGATTGATGATCTATAAATGGGTTTGTTTCTCCTATGGACCAGTCCGTAGGAGGGGCTGAGAATGCCCACAAGGACATGTGTTTACTAGGTCACCTGATGCTGGGTTTCATTTTGATCCTGATACTTTTCCACTGAAAGTGAGAAAAAGTTTAAAGGGAACAGAAAGGAGTCCTGCTTTGGGCAAAATCTATATAAAAGTGGGAAGCCAAATAATTGGGGCTACTGCTAGACATCAGGACACCCCTGCTTACCCCTGCTTCAGCATCTAAGGCTGAATAGGTAGAAGGATCAAGCCCAGATTGGGAGAGTTTCCAGGCTGTGAAAAAAGAACTACAGTTACAGTAAAGTATTGCATGTAACAAGTTTCTTAGTGTACCAGAACAAAATACAGGACTATGTAGCACTTTAAAGGCTAGGCAGAGTAAAGAGGCGCTCAGGAAGGCAGGAAAGTTGGCTCAGTGGTGTTTCAGCACATCAAGTGACAGTCTCAAGGGATCTCTGACCAAATCCATCACACTCCCTGATTCTGCAGCTGGAAGACAAGCACAGCAACCTCCGTCTCATCTAGAGTGTGCAGGGAGTGGACATGCTAGGAGAAGCCCTGTCTCATCACACATACCCTCCAGCTTGTGGGACAAGGGCTAAGTCCCTTGGTGATTCCTCACAGCATATGGATAGCAGGGAGTTTGTGAGGGGAAGGTCAGGGGTGCATGGGCAAAGAGCAGGGTAGACAATATTTGTCAACAACCAAATCCAACAAGATTTTCACCACCAGCCTTCTAGAAGGCTCACATCTGTCCCACTTCAAACACAGAGCCTCTAAAGCAGTTTAGACAGAAAGAGTTTTGACACAGACAAACAACATTGGCTACTTTTCATTTTCTTAATTACCAAAAAACCAAGTCTGCTCATATTTTACAGAGAAAAAACCACTCAGAGAGATACCACAGCTGGAAAATTCCAGCCTGAAAGTTGAAACATGACCAAGTTATAAGCAATTAAACAAGGATACATTTAGCCAACCATAATAAGAGAAATCACATGCCACTTCTAATTCCCAGACAGGAAACCTCACACGCTATGAGTTATCACTATTCAAGGAATTTTTGAAACAAGGCAAACACTGCAAAATCAGTATGAGTTTCAGAAGTATTAACTTTTAAGTTAAATATAGTACAAATGTAAGCAGTTGAAATAACTTCACAAACATTTTAGGAAACATAATACCAAATGATGTATTGATTCCATATTAAAGCCATCAGGCTTACCAGTGGGAGGAGTGTGTTTATCTTCTCACAGTCCAAAGTAGTGGCATTCAGGGTTGCAGTGTGGAAAGAGACAAATTATCTTCAACAGAAAGCTGGGGGCATGATTTATTTGGATTGCTGTTAATGTGGAGAAGCCTGACTGGCATAGGTAGGTTTATGGAAAAGGAACGAGGGCTTTAAGAGCCCCAAGTGTTAACTCACTAAACTCTGATCCCACTGATAACTAAAAGTCTGCAATTGTCATTTGTGAACTTTTGTGCTTGCCACTTGACAGGTCGACCAGGCTTTCCTCGTCTTGTGAAGGCAATATATCTGTGGGGTTCAGCTTTGAGCTGAATGGGTTCTTGATCCATTGAGTACATCGGCCTCTGCACACTTTGGGAAAGAATTCACCAAACTGCTCCTGCAGACTCCCTAAGCTTTGAACAGTTACATCCTGGATGCTGTCAGCTGCCAGATCACCCACAGTTGCACAATGCCCTGCAGTGTTTAAAACATGGGACTAGAGCCCTGCTGCACCCGTGAAGACCACAGTTCAAGTTTGTTAATGAATGCTGCTAACCAATCATTGGTAATGAAACCATTTGCATCTCATTCCAGAAATGCCACAATCGGAGAATTCAGTCACTTGAATATGTCAGCCAGATATGACAACAAGGATATCCCATGAGTGCCACTGAAATGCTGAACAGACTCTCCCACAGTTCACATAGTCATATCTGCACCTTGCCCCTGGCCAGCCAACAAACTTCTGCATGTCACAACTGCAAAATTTGCCCCCATTTCTTCACATAAAATGACAAAACCCCTTGAAATAACTGGACTTTATACATTTTATAATTTTTACTGTAATTGAAAATATTGCTGAGCTCCTCTGGCATTGCCTTAACAGCCAATAGATGTCTGTGGATCATATAATGCCAGGTTGCCATAAGAGTCACATCTTGTATCTCTCATATAATCCTGCTATGCCATCCTGTCATACCCCACTCTTAGTTGCTGCAAATTCCAAAACAACATCCCCAGGTTGCTTTGACAAATTATTTAATAGTTTAGAAAGCTCTTTTCCAGTTGCTTGTGTTGGACATGAAAGGCAAAACAGAAATTCCTCTTTTAATTCTGTTGCTGTAGCAAAATGAATATTTACGAGATGTAGTGCAGCATATGACAGATTGGTAGACTCATCTGAGTGGAATAATATGAGCCCTGACAAATACTTTGTAGGAGCTGCTCATTTACCTCGGGACCTTCTCTGCAACACAGAATGAAACTCTGTCATTGGAAAGTGGGCTCACAGCTCACCGTGATGCTGTTTTGTCTCCTCTCATTGCCACACACATGACCTTTGCAGCCACAAGTAGGAGTTTCTCATCTATGTCATGTGGTCTACCAGCTTTGACAGCACAAAAAGGAATTAGTTTGAATTAACATTTCACTGCCGTGTGTAGCCGCGCAGCAGTTACTTCGGGCTAGTGAAATTTCAAAATGGCAACCGGACGGGAACATGCAAATAAAGCCCGGGATATTTAAATCCTGGGCTTCATTTGCAACACCGGTCGCCTCATTTGCCTACCGAGCTTGAATTAACGAGCTAGTGTAGACATATCCATAGCCACATGATAAGAAGCCTCCATAGCCTTCCTGTTAACAGTGATGCACATCAACAGCTTTTGTCTCATTAACTCTTTAAGCTTTCTCTGAAAAAATGCTTGGCGTTTAAATACTCAGGTAGCAGATCTTGTTCTGAGATACCAGCAGAGCTTGCAGGGCTGTATACCATAGTTTGCTGGAACTTCGCCATATACAACACATTGAGGCCTGGTGCCTGGCTAGACCTGCTCCAGGTAAAGCCCAATTTGAAATAGGTTTTGTTAGATTTTCTACTTCTGTGTTTTGTTGTAACATCTGCTGCAGCTGTCTCTTTAGCTTCTGTTGTACCCTCTCCTCCCTTGGGGACAAAGTGACCCATTTCACATGTAAGCGGTTTCTCGCTCTAAACATCTTGCTGATAATAGCTCAAGGGGTACATCTAGAGTAGACTGTGTTCCTCTTTCGGGATACCAGAAGTATCCCAAAATAGCAACGCTGTGTTTTTAAAAGTGCCTACTATTTCCTGAAATAGTGGATGCGATATTCCAGCGTCCCTGTAACTCTTGCGGAACGAGGGTTAAGGGATTTGTTGGAATAGTGCCTTATTTTGAAATTTGGCGCTGTGTGGACAACGCCAAATTTCAAAATAAGCTTTTTCGACTTAGACTCGGAATAAGCTGCGCAATTTGCATAGCTCAAATTGTGCAGCTTATTCCGACAGAAGGGTGCTATGTAGACACACCCGAGGTTGTCTAGAGGAAAAACACACAAGAGACAGCTGGCCTGTCACAGCTGCTAAGAGAGCCCTGTGTGCAGTTAGTGAAGAGCTCTGCAGAGCCCAGTGCAACACCTGTCAGCTCGGGCACCTGCTATCAGACTGGGACATGCTGCAGCTCTTGCATTAGCCCATTTTCCTGCTGTCCCAGAGGGGGGAGAGGACTGCAGCTCTCATAGTGAGAGCTCAGAGCCAGAGCCAGAGCCAGAGCCAGAGCCAGAACCTACCCCACTGTGACAGCAGAAGCCCGAGCTGAGAGCTGGAATTATTAACACACACACACACACACACACACACGCACGCACACATCTGCACACACATACACATGCACAACTTTCACCTCCCTTTCTGCATTCCTATGGCCCCCCTTGGGAGGCATGCCCTGCACTTTGAGAGCTGCTGTTCTATACCAGTTAACTCCTGGGCCTTGCTGACAGTGGTAACTGTCCCATTGAGGTGACACCTCAATACAGGTTATGTTCTCTTTCTCTGGAACTGTCCGGAACATTCTCCTATATGCTTCAGGGGTCAGTTTAAACTTTGGCAACAAAGTTTGTTTTCAATCATCATAATCTTTATAGTCTTCCAAGGCCTTTGTCCAGAAAGCTGTGGTGCCAGGTCCATACCATGTTCCTTTGTTCCCACTTATTCAATTCACACCATACCACAAAAGCAGCAGGAACACATCAATGTCATCCCACTTCCTAGAGCGAGGAAGCCTGCCACGCTCTGGCACAGGTCCCTGGTGTCTGGCTCCATCTTCTGGACAAAGGTTCTGCTGGCACAGGTGCTCCATTTTTCCCTGGCATTGATGCTCCCAGTCCTTTTTGCTCTCTGGTGCTGGTACTGGTGTTCCTTCTCTCTGTGCCATGCCAGTTTGTTTCTCTCGTACTGGCCATGCTGTCTCTTGCTCCAGGTCTGCAGAGTTCCAGGCGCACCCTGAGCTCTCCAGCTGAAGCCTCTCCTGCTCTAGCTCCTTGCACTGGGGTGACCTTGGTCTGGGTGGGACACAGTAACTTCCTGTCAGCTTCCCTGTTGCTTTCCAAAATTCTTCCTGTCTGCTGGGCCCTCTGTCAGTCAGCTGGAGGGTCTCTTTGAACATGGTCCAGAGCTCCCTCTACCTTTTCCTACCCACGTGCAGAATGAATTTTGTTGTCACTCATCACCTCCATATTGGTGCACAGAACAAGAGTCATGTCCCAGGGTGAGGCTGAGAAGTTTGGAGTGTGGCAATGGGCTCGGGGCTGGATGCAGCCCTGAGGTGCAGAGGGTGAGAGCTCCAGCTGGGGATGCGGGCTCTGAGGTGAGCCGTGTTGCCCCAGAGCTACGGCAAGGAAAGAGGACTCCCCCCAGCTCTCTTCCCGCACCAGCGCCTGATCGGGGGGGGAGGGGGGAAGAAGAGAAGAGAAGAGGCGCTTTTTTCTGCCATGGCAGCTCCAGGAACGGCTGGGTCAGGGCCTGGGGAGAGATGTCGTTCTCCCAGTCACAGCAGGTCCATGCCATGCTGGACTGGGTCGAGGGAGGGGCACTTCCCCCTTTTTTCCCCTGGCTGCAACAGATCTGGGGCTTGAGATGGAGTGGGAAGGGGCAGCTGTCCTTCAGCAGTGCCAGGTCAGGGGAGTTTGGGGAGAGGCATCTCTCCCTGCCACAGCCCTGAACACCTGCACAGCACTTAATTTCATTTTGCCCACGAAAGCTCATGATACTATATAGTCTCTAAGGAGCCCCAGGACCATTTGTTGATTTTATAGAGTGTGCCTGTGTAGCTGTTGCACCAATCTCAGCTATCCATCATATCCCAGACTGGACAGCACTATTTCAGCAGCTCCTTTGTGCACTGCCAAGACTGTAAATGATTAAATCGGAGAGGGTCGCTGATTAGCATGAAGAACTGACCTTGAACAAGGGCTCCGCCCTTCCCAAAAGGGAAGGGCCATTCATACCAGAAGGGCTGTCATGGACCTAGCAAAAAGAAGGCAAAAGACTGAATTGTGTTCTGCCTCCTCGCAGTACAGATGAGCCAGGTAAGTGGACTCCTCCCATCAGCTGAGCTGAGTTTGCAGCTCATGGCACATGGTTGGAGGCAGATAAAAATGTCTAACTTAACAATGCTTGGTCTCTGGGGAGGGGTCCAAAGTTTTTAAAAGCATAAGCAAAGCATCCCCAGGTGCTTAGACTGGGTTAGCTCTGAGGAATATGTACAGCTGAATATAGAAGCTTTTATTTCCCTCTGGGACTTAAGACTGTAACTCATTCATGTATCCAGGTGTGCAGCTTTTTTCTTATCAATAACTCATTTCCTTTTTCAAGTAAACGTATCTGTGTAGAGCTTAGTATAGGGTTGATACAAGCCTTGTCTTTGGTGCGAGAGCAAAGGTGCAACTACCTGGGGAAAGCAATTGGTCCTTTGGGACTGGGGCTAGCCTTGGTGAAAGGGAGCGGCTCTCTCAAAGACAGGCTCACCTGGGAGACAAGAGAGATGGGACTAGCCAAGGGGACTGTATCTGACTCCATGGCTAGGCTGTTGTCAGACCTGAGTGTTACACCTGTGATAGCTAAGAACAGCACTCACCACCAGTCTGCAGTGATGTTCAGTGCTGCAGGCAGCCTTGCAACCCCTGGTCCGCAATTACACCCCTACCTCTCCACAGGCTGCTTTTCCCTTGACAGTGGCTTCATTTCTGGGTGAGGAAACTAACTGGGTCCTTTGTAGTCTTGGCAGCCCCTTTACACCCCGTGGCTGGGCGAGCAGCCAAGCCTGGCCACACAGGCAGAAATTCTTACCAGACTCTTGACACTGGTCAGCAGCTCCCGGGAGAAATTGGCAAAGGAGGTGAAGGCCCCAGCCAGTTGCTCATCACCATCACTCTGGTAGTTCGCAGAGAATCTCTCCTGGGCTGCAATATGAGCTTCCATGTGGGTAGCGAGATCTAAACACACAAACACCAAGCCCCCATCAACAGGGTTAAGGGGAGCAAAGAGAGACGCTACCATTGGCTGTCCCATCAGCCACACCTAAATCTCTTCCCCAGAGAGCTGCCAGGGCCTAGAACAGGGCTGGAAGGGAACTTGGGGAAGGTATGAGCACTGGGGCGGGGGTGGGGTGAGTGCAGGTGAAGGTGGGTACTGGGGGTGAGAGGAGCAGGGACAGGAATAGAAGGCTGGGCAATGCAGGGTGAGGGGGTAGTTGAGTGGGGCAGACCAGGGGCAGTATTGAGGGATGAGGCAAGACCGGGCTGGGGGCAGAGCCAGGGAGTGGGGCACAGCTGTGGCCAGCCGAGGCCGGGCGGGGGGGTGGAGCAGAGATGAGGCTGGGCCGGGCCAGTCAGTGGGGTAGAGCTGCAGTTGGGCTGGGGCCGGTGAGTGGGACAGAGCTAGTGAGTGGGGCAGTGCTGTGGCGAGGCTGGGCCAATAAATTGGGCAGAGCTGGGGCCGGGCCATGGCAGGGCCAATGAGTGACAGCATGCGTGCCCCCTACAGACACTTGCCTGTCATGTGGGAGGACCTTGCGCCAGAGCGGTGGGAGTCGATGCACTTCTGCTCTAGGCACAGAGGGGCTGGAATTGCAGGAGGCAGGATGGGGCTCCAGAAGGTGCCCTTGAGAAGCAGGCTCTGGCAAGGATCCAGTTGCTGCCGCCAGTGCTGGCATCACCCCTCAGCAGCATGACTGCCTCTGCCTCTGGTGCAGCGCAGAATGCCCAGACCGGTGCTCCAGTCAGTGCAGGGCTGGCAGGGGAGGACGAGCTGGCTACAGTGAGGGAGTGCGGCTGGGCCATTCCTGTCTACTTGCCATTCACCCCATCAGCTCCAAGCTCACCAGGCAGAGCAGACAGCACCAGGGCCTTTGACCCCAGGCCCATCTGGGCCGATATATGTGGAAGGAGCAGGGTGCCACAAACAGGGCTGTATAAGCCAAGTGGGGTTTGGTGATGCCCTGGCTACTAGTTACTCAAGACCTTCCATGTTGCTGGGGTGGCCTCTGTCCCTCAGCTCTCACCAAGCAGAGAGCGCTGTTATGGGGCCATAGGTGGGGTGCATGCTGTTCATAAGGGTGCTGCCTGGCCTGGTGGGGCCTGCCCCATTTCCCACTCATGCCCAGCACTCACTGCAGCATTTCTGGGAGCAGGGCAGAGTTTGTGCTGCAGCCAGCCCTGGTGTGTCACTGCAAAGCTGTGGGAAGAAGGCTCCAGGCTAGAGAGCAGATGGCCGTGGGGAATGTGGAGAGAGCAGTAGGTCGGGGGCCTCCCTCATATTCTTTGCAAAGAGAGGCATTCCAACAGCCCTAGAAACATGGAGCCACGTCTCCAAAAGCCCCGACCCCCCACCCACTCTCCAGTCCACACGACAAGCCACCCTCCCCCGGCCCACACTGGGCCTCCAGCTCTGCTCTGACCTTGCCCAGAAGCATGCTCTGCTTTGGTTGCCTTCCTCATGTTCTGCAGCGCAGCTCGATCGGAATCCAAGGCCTAGGAACAACCAAAGAGGTCTGGTGGGCTTCTACCTGCCAAATGCTCTGAACAGGAGATTAGACCTGGCCATGCTGTAGATGGGCTGCACAGCAGGAGGAGTCGTAGTCCTGGAAGAAACCACCAGAGCTAGAGACCTCCTGGACTGGGTTCATCCCGAGCACTCAGTCAGCACATGGGACTCTCCCCCTTCAGACCCCCATGCATTCTTGAAGAGGTGGGGGTGGTCCTATCACTCCCCTCTTGTTCTCCTGAAGCAAGCCCCACAGCCTGCTTGCTCCAAGCCCTCAAGAACTTGTTATAGGGGCCCCTGTTCCACAAGCCCCTAACCTCCTCCCTTTTATAACCTGAGCCGGCAGCTTAACCTGACCCACCTCCAAACCACGCCCAGGGACCACTATACGCACTGGTGTGCCACACGTTCCATTTCTGCCCTGACACCAAAGGGGAGTACTACCCCCCCCGTGGAGGTTGAGGAACCCCAATGGGCCAGCCCCCACTCCCCTCCGGTCCGGTCCCACAGCCCACTGGGGATATCAGTTGATGGCTCCTCCCCAGAGCCGTGTGCACAGGCGCATACTTGGTGCAGTTCAGCCACATTCCTGACACCTGTCGCTTCTTCAGCATGAGGGAGAACCTGGTGTTTGCCAGGTTGCAGCTCCTTTTTTGGCTCCTTCAGAACCTCTTGGTGAGGTTCTGGCTGCATATTTCCCTGCGTCTGTTCATTTTTGCAAACCCTATCCATGACCCCACAAAGTCACCAGACCTCGTCATCACCCTGCTCTTGGGCCTGGCCAAGGCCGCTATCTACAACACCAGGAGGATGCCTGACAAGGGGATGCTCTGCAACTGCCGGGCCAATTTCTGCTCCTCCCTGGTTTCATGCATCTGGGCAGAGTTCTCCTGGGTGGCAGCCACTGGCTCCCTAGACAGCTTTGAGGAGCAGTGGGCACTGCCTGGTGTTCTCTGCTCAGTGTCCCTGTCTGGATCCTGGCTTTTCAACCCATGGTCTGCACCCATTTGTCCCCTGTATTCAGTCCATTTCTGGGTCAGGTGGCTCCTCCCCCTAGGCAGAGGGATGGACTTCTAGAAATGGGCTTGTGCATACCCACCTCTCAGTATTTCAAAATATGGCTTATAGAGCCCATGGGCACCAGACAGCACAGACTCTGCTCATTTGTCCCTCCTACTCAGTTGGAGGGAAGCTGCTAGAAGAGGAGGTTACTCACCTATTCAGTAACTGATGTTCTTCGAGAGGAGTGTCCCCGTGGGGGCTCCACATCAGGTCAGTGTGCTGCTGCCATGCTGAGGATCAGAGTCTTCAGAGCAGTGTCCCTGGAGGCATGTATACACGTGCCTCTAGCTGCACGCTTGTAGTGTGCAGGCATCATGCATATGCAAGCCTCCCCTTCCCTCAGTTCCTTCTCAACCTCAGAAAAAGACCTCCTGGAGAGGCCAGAACTCTGAAGTAGAGTGGAGGGAGGAATGGTATTGGAGCACCCAAGGGGACACACATGTAGAAGAATGTCAGGTACAGCACAGGTGAGTAACCGCCTCTTCCTCTTCGAGAGATGTCCCTGTGGTGCTCCACTCCAGTTGACTACAAAGCTGTATCATTCTAAGGAGGCAGGGACTTTGGATCTGGAATCACTGCCTTGAGAGATTTAATGGCCAATGCCCAGGTAGCAGCCCTGCAAATATCTGCTATTGGAATCTTGCATATGAATGCTATTGAGGTAGACATTCTAGTTCTTGTGCAGAGAGCCATCTAGGACCCATGCCTTGAGGTGTAGTATGTGCAGATTGGGGTGGGTTCCCAGTTGGAAGAGGAGATCCGGCTGTGTGGTAGGGGAATTGGAGGTATGCGAGACATCCTCTTCAGGAAGGGAAACCAAGGCTGTCGTGGCCACAATGGGGCTATGAGAATTAGTCATGTGTTGTCTGTCCTTGCCTTGTGGACAATCGTGTTCAGTGGACGTATGAGAGGAAAGGCATAGAGGAGGTGAGATGACCAGCTGATTAGGAAGGCATAATCCATGCAGCCCTTCCCCATTCCCGCTTTGGAACAGAAAAGGTAGCACCTTTTGTTGGTTTGCACAGTGAAAAGATCTATGGTGGGATGACCCCACTGGAGAAGGATCCACAACAGGATGTCTGGGTTGATTTGCCACTTGTGCTTGGTGGGGAGGGCCCTGATGAGCGCATCGGCCATAGTATTGTGACGGCCTCGAAGATGGAAGGCAGTCATCTTTATACCGTACTTTAGACACCAGTTCCAGAGGGTTATGGACTCTGTGCATAGTGTATGTGATTGGGCTTCACCCTGACAATTTATATAAAAACATAGCTGCTATGTTGTCGGTATAGATCCTGACATGATTGTTGACAATGAAGGGAAGGAATCACTTGCATGCGTATCTTACAGCTTGACATTCCAGAACATTTATGTGAAAGTTTCTCTCTGTGTTGGACCACAGACCCTGAGTCGTGTGGTGTTGCAGATGTGTTCCCCTCCCCGTGAGGGAAGCGTCTGTTGTCACAGAAGAAAATGGTTACTTATCTCTGTAACTGTTGTTCTTCGAGATGTGTTGCTCATGTCCATTCCAATTAGGCATGTGCACGCACCTAGCAGATTCCAGAGCCCTTAGCAGTACTGGTTGGGCCAGCCGAGAGGCCCTTGGAGTGGCACTGCTGTATCAGCACATGTATACACCTGCTGGCCCTCCACCCCCTCAGTTCCTTCTTGAGGGAACCCTCCAATGAAGGGGAAGTGGGTAGGATTTGGAATGGACATGAGCAACACATCTTTAGGAACAAGAGTTACAGAGGTAAGTAACTGTTTTTTCTTCTTGAGGTGCTTGCTCATATCCATTCCAATTAGGTGACTCCCTAGCAGTGTCCTAGGAGATGGGGTCAGAGTCTATCAACATCTAATTCACAATGGACTGCAGCACAGCACTCCCAAAGGCTGCATCTTCCCTGGCCTGCTGAGCAATTACGTAGTGACTGGAAAATGTGTCAACAGAGGACCACGTAGCTGCTCTGCAAATGTCAAGAATGGGTACCTGTGCAACAAATGCTGGGGATGACGCCTGTACCCTCATGGAATGAACCATCAGCAGGGGCGCAGGCCTACCCGCAAGGTGACAGCAGGCTCTAATGCAGGAAGTGAGCAGCAGGCTCTAATGCAGGATAAGCACCGAGCCGATACTGATGAGCCCTTCATCCTCTCTGCTATGGAACTAAAGAGTTGCGGGGATCTACAGAACTCTCTTGTCCTCTCAACATAAAACGCTCGTGCTCATCCAATGTCTAGGGAACATAGCACCTGCTCTCTAGGCGTAGAGTGGGGTTTCGGGAAGATAACCGACAGGTAAATGTCCTGGGACATATGGAAATGTGAGACAATCTTAGGGAGGGATGCAGGATGGGGGATGCAGCCTAACCTGGTCCTTAAAGAAAACCATGTATGGAGGCTCCAATGTGAGGGCCCTCAGCTCAGATACTCTCCTGGCTGACGTGATTGCAATCAAGAATGCCACCTTCCACGATAGGTGCTTCAGCGAGCAGGTGGCCAAGGGGGCCCACAGGAGTCCAGTCCAAACTAAATTCAGATCCCATGTGGATAAGGTGGGCGCATATAGGAGAACAGCCTGTCCACCCTCTTCAGGAAGCGCTTCAGCATTGCGCTCATGAACACTGTCCTGCCTCCATTGGTTGAAAAGCTGCAATCGTGGCCAGGTGAACCTTCAGGGAAGATGTAGAAAGGCCCTCGTGTCTGAGGTGTAGGAGGTAATCCAAAATGAGAGGAACTAAGGCACCAATCAGGTCTGCCTCCTCCCCCCCCCTCCCCCCCCCCCCCTGCCCCCCAGGCAAAGCATTTCCATTTGGCTACATACACTGTCCTGGTGGAAGGCTTTCTACTCCCCAGGAGGACCCTACATACCTCCTCCGAGGAGAGTCACTCTGAAGGTTCCAGGCTGTAAGGTGGAGGGATGTAAGCAGGTTGCCCTCAGGGATTGGTGGCTCCCCATCGTGGTCAGTGGGCGGCCACTCTGACCTACGACGTTTTCCACTGTAAGTTGGGGAATTAGCAGAGTCTGCGAGTAGGTCCTCCCACTGGGCAAGCAGCAACCCAGTGTCTAGACACGGCTGCAGTCTAGGGTGAGTAGCAAATAGACAGTTCACAGGCCCGGCCTCAGTTCAGGGCTGGCAACAAATAAGCAGTTTATAAACCCGGCCTCAGCTCAGAGCGAGCAACATTAGTTCCAGCACCCGGCCTCAGTTTGGGGCGGGCAGCAATTAAGCAAAGAGTTCAAACCCAAGCCATGGTTCAGGGCATGGCAGCAGGCAACCAACCAGCAATTCTAGGCCAAACCTTGGTTCAGAGCGTGGCAGCAGTTAAACAAACAGTAAAGAGTTCCAAAGCCAAACCCTGGTTCAGGCTGTGGCAAAAGGCAAACAACAGCAGTTTAAAGCCAAGCCCTTGCTCAGGGTGTGGCAGTAGTGGGTGTCGGGT